AGGGAAGGAAGGAAGGAAGGAAGGAAGGAAGGAGCCAAAGAAAAGGAGATGAGGAGTGTGATGGCGGGGATTTAAATGACTGAGGAGGTGAGAATGTTGACAGACAACATAAAGATCATACAGTGAAGAGACGTCAGGTAATAGTGCTGGTTTTGAAGAGAAGGCTGGGCAAACAGACACATGGAAGATAACCACCAGAGAGAAATGAAGATGTGCTGCTTGGTGGGAACTGCAGTCATGGGTGAGCCAATGCTCCTGGAGACTGGGAAGGGGATTACGTGCGTATATTTTGACGTACAATCAACATGGTGAATGGACCATGCAGGATGGCCCTTCTGGACTACAAAGAAAGAAACGTACTGTCAGTGAATGAACCACGCTTAAGAAAAGGGAGGAAAATACATGGGAAGGAACTCAACATGCCATCCCATTGGTGATGGCCCTTGGTCCCAAATTTATGACCACATTTTTTAGGCTAACCCTGCCAACACCCACTTTGATTAAATTTGAAGAAGGAAGAAAGCTAGAGTTTCCTATTATTTCTGCTTCCTGGGACTAAAGCTGAAAAACACACATGGAAGCTGTCATTCTTGCAAATTCTAATATTCCTTCCCTGGTAATTCTCATCTTTCAATGCTTCTTGAGTGTAGGACCTGAGGGAAGTTAATTTGCTGCTAAAGTGGCAACTAGCATTGGGACAAGAATTACTGCTAAAAGCTGCAAACCCCTTCTCTCTGCTCACATGCTGCTAGGTTCTAGGGTCTCAGGCTGGGCCATGCATGCGTGTGGCTCAGGAAAACACTCACATTGTTAATAATATAAGTTCTGTAAACTTATTACAAAGATTTTCTGGTAGAAAGCTCTAAAGAGTCTAACAAAAATGAGGACGTTTTAACACCATTCTGACAGATATAAGTACCTTGTGGCCTTTCAAATTGGTGCAGAGGCACAGAGTGCTCCATCTGTGGCATGCTGGGCGGAGGGGGGTGTGTGTGCAGATCTCCCTCGTGAGGCACTCTGTGCGCTCAGGTCGGGGCGGGGGGGCCTCTGGGCAGCTTTTATAACCAGCCTCTTAGAGTAAAGGGGGAGCACAGACAATACAAACTAGGTAATTTCAAAATCATTCCTGCAGGGTCTGGAAGAGGCTTTGATGAGAAAGTAACTTTTCCTGTAAAGCTCAATTAATCCTTGGGAGTTCCGTGTCAGTGAACAAACTCAAATGTCAAGTGATTGGCAATGAACTCTTACCTCTGCCTAGCCCCATTCTCCTCCTCTGTGGGAGTGGGGGTAAATGTATGTAGCAGGGCTGGCCAGACTAGCTAGGGAAATGGCCGGTAGCCCTGTCCCAGGAAGCAGGGACACAGCAGAGGGGGCCGTGCAGCCTCAGTAATCTGGCTGCCTAAGCTGTGCCGAGTCGGCAGAGGAGATCGGTGCAGCTATCCTGGAGATTGCCAGAATGTCAGCCACCAGCCTGGAAGGTCTAGCCAACCACAGAACCTGGAATTGTCCCCATCAATATTTAAACCCATTAGCCCCAAACAGCATCAAAGTCTGGATGATCTGGGACAGCAGAGACAGACCTAGGAGCTCCTGGTTGGCTAGCTGTGCCGATTCACCAGTAAGTTCATTAACCTCCCATTGAGATGACAATGCATTTTATATGACTGAGCTTGACTGACGCTGTTCAAGGCACTTCCAACTGTTTTATGGCTGAGTCCTTACTCGATCTAAGGAATGTTGGTAATGTGGAATATACTGTGACTGGAGGAAACCAGGATGGAATTAAGAATTTGTACAGGAATTAAAATGTGAATAATATACGTAGTGACCAAAAACTAACTGGCGTCAACACTCACATTATGGTATTTATAGGTAAAAGTCAAGTCACTGACAGAGCTGAGAGCTAAAAACATTTCTACAGCTGAGAAAGGCCATCAAAGAAGAAACCGAATATCGAGGCATGAACCTGGCAGTGATCCTATTGTTTCAGATTTACCTCGTCTTCCTCTTCAGGCATCTTGATAGAATTATCCGGGGACTTGATAGGTTTCTGGCTACTGGGCCCATTGGTCTCTTCTTTACCATGTTCTGCCTCCCATTCTTGTAAAACTTCATCTATGTTGAAGCGGCGTCGATAATTTACAAAAAAGTTTTTCACTTGTACCACTGATTTGTTCCCAATCACATCTGAGATTGCCTGAAAATCTCGGCCATATTTCCTGATGGCTAAGGATGTAAGAGAGCATTGTTTTTCAATACAGGGGAAAAACAACTTTGAAAAACCCACACAACTGAGACTTACCCCTTCCTTTATCTAGATAAGAAAACATATGGGGCTTCTAACAGCAGGCACTATCTTAATGCATTATACCAGTGGGAAAAAGCAGCAACGTAGATCTATTTTGTAGATGACTGATCCAAGAAGTCCAGTATGACCCTGTCATCCAGAAATCTGCACCATCTGTCACCTGTCCCAAGATACCTGAAGTCATCCAGCCAGCATCCTGTGGCTATGGACATTCTGCATTCTTCTTTTCAGGATCCCCAGGACTAGAATACCTCCCAACTGTAAAATTCTGACAACCTGCTGCTTTTGGGGTTTTGTACTTTCTGACCCTTCAGAACCCAACACACTCCCACAAGCAGTGGGATGGGAATGGGGTGAGGCATGACTTTTCCTAAAGGCGCCAGAGCTGCAAGCCCACAAGGACTCCCCATACCTTGTACCGCGAGAAGCTGCTCTTCTGTGGTCCAACGTGCATTACATTTCTGAGTGACCTGCATATCCAAATGAATCACGTGAGCATAATGCATCTACAGGTGTGTATGTCCTTACGAGAGTTAATGCATCTTATTTTTTCTCCTGTCAGAATTTCAACATCAACTAGGTTTTCAATATTGTTATCTATACCTTTCTTTCTGTGGGATGTATGCTGGAAATGTATTATACAGGCATTAAATTCTTAGCACGTAAAACATGGTTATGACTTCTAAGATGATGTCAACGTAATCCTACCTCTGGAAGCCGATATGGTTCTATTCCACCGTCAAGTTTTTCTTTGAGAGCACTGTTTGTCTGTTTAATATTCTGAATCTAAGAGAAAGAAGAAAATACTTTAATTTTAAAAATGAAAAACTTTTATAAAGGTATGAAATGAAAACGAAACTAAGAAAAAAGTAAAAGAAACAAAAAACCAAGAGCAAAGAAGTACCAGATCTGTATGGTAGCCAAGATTTGAGGTCCCCACAGTATCCCTTCAGAGCATCTAACTAGATGCTGTGACTTGCTTAGAGCAGCATACAAGGGACAAGAAGGAGGAGGGCATGGCGGTGAAAGGGCTCCCGTGTGCACAGTCCTAACTCATAATTTCTTAACAGTTCATCCCCTGAGTAGCATATCTGGAGTCTGACACAAAAGACAGGCAATGCCTGGGCTTCCCGCCGCACAGAATTGAGCTCAAGCTGGAGAGCGGGCAGAGTCAAGGCTGAAGAGAAGAGGCACAGCTCTGCAGCAGGACTGCAGATGCAGACTCCCAGGGCCCCAAGCACTGTCTGTCCAGGCACCACACAGGGCAAAAGCCCACAGTGCAGCCTTCTTTAATGAGAAGAAAAAAGAAAGCAGTAATGTCAGTTTCCCACAAGCCTAATTTTGATCAACTATAATTCTTCACTTTCTCACAGATTTTCTTTTCCACATTATTGGATTCGATGCACCTAATCTTTCACTGCTCATACCTAATCAAAAGAAAGACACAACCACCACCAACCACTGAATCACTCCATGGTTCCTCCTGACTTCTGCATGGACTCCCGAATGCGCTGGGTCATGGGAACGGGCCCTTCCCGCTCAGCCCTACGTGCAGAGGCATTTCCAGGCGAAGCACCAGGGGGGACTCTGACCCTAGGGTTTTTCCTTTCTGAATAATCCCATGGGCCAAAAAAAAAAAAAAAGCAAGGGGAGAAACAAATTCATTTTCCCAAATAAAACCTCAAAGACACTCATGAGCAGAAGGTGCCCTCGAAAGCAGCAACCTTATTAAGACAAATAAAGAAAAGCAGGACTTTGAGAGGTAGGGGAGGGATGGGAGATTAGCGGAGACGGTGGTGAAGGACACGGTCTCATGGACACTTTAATAATTCTCTCCTCTACAAATCTTTTTATACTTAGATGAAAATTTCATTTTCAAATACGTTTCACAGAATTCTAGTTTTGCATTTTCTTTCCTATATTTTACTTCTTCTAAAAGATTTAAAATGGGGTGGAGATGTACAGGGGACCGGTGGCCCAGTAAGAAAGACCAGCGCTGTCAGGGACCAGAAAGTGAGCCTGTTTGCCACTTGTAAGGGCCTTAAAGCCTACCAGAAATACAGCCTACGCCAAATCTTTTTCTATTAATGTCAAATCAGAACATAGAAACAACCAAAAAGAAAAATATAGGAAATGTGCACAAAATTTACTCTACTGTAAAACTAAAACTGAGGACCCTGATTTACTGAAATTTGCTTTAGTTCATTTTTGAAAAGGTACAAGTCAAATAAAATAAACTGGTACCAGAAATTGATTCATAGTGAGTTGTTGGGACAGTGACACCAAGCTCTCAGAGCAGCATTACCTCACAGAATGTTCTTGGATGCAGCAGTATTCTGCAGCTGTGGCTACCTGACACGGGAGCCACCAGCCACATGTAAATACTAAGCACCTGAAATGTAGCTTATGCAACTAAGGAATCGGATTTTTCATGTCTTCTACTTTCATCCAAACTTGAATTTAAATGACCATGTGTGTCTACTGGCTACCTGATCAAACAGCAGGGTCTTAGACTCTTGCTCGGAGCTCTCAGGCACCAACCACCCATAAGATGTTGTAAGACATTCAAGATTATGTCCACTGAACTCTCCTTAGGCTAAAAACTAGACCTAGAAACTTTTAACAGGGAATTAGCGAATTCTCAAAAGTCAGCAATCTAGAATACTCAATGCCGCCAAGCACGCCAGTTAAATATGTTATTCTATTTGCTCCAGCTTGTTGTTCACATATGTATAAAACTGGGGATATATTGCATTGTGATTAAGTAACATACGTTTTTCTAAAGAGACCAACCTAATTTACCACATGCATCTTCTCTTTAAAAATCAATAAAGCATCATAGCGATTACATAAGTGACTACACGGCTAACTAAAAGTTTAGCTCTAAATTCCCATTAACCTTCATCTCTCTTCCTAATGTATTTGCCTTGTTAGAAATACTGTGTTTACTATCAGAATAAGGACAGGATTTGGCTGCCAACATCATGCTAACAGGAAGTCAGAGTGGCAACGAGCTGCGTTAAGAAATAAGGTATGAAAGCAATCGGCATTTAAAGAAAAACAAAAAAAAGCCATTGACTTGGCCTGGTGCCTTACCTAGACCTCCCAGCCGTATGGGGCTTTTCTACTTTCCTGTGTGACCGTCTCCCTCTCCACCCAGGAGACCTAATGCGCCAGGCACTGGCCGCTCGCTAATCTAACAGACATCTGTTCCCCAGCCCCCTTCTCACAAGTACCGTCCATAGAGGCTAGGGGTCTTTCTCGGAGCTGGGAGGAGCCGTTCTGCAGAGCTCTGGCATGCACAAAGGACAGGAGCCCCCGGGAAGGTAAAAGCTTCTCCTGCTAGGAGGGCAGATGGGCTGGCTCCACCTCCAGCTCCTCCTCTGCCCTGAACGCAGATGTGCAGGCCACAGAATGGCTTCTGAAGCTTCCAATGCGAGAGAACAGCAAGGCGAAAGCCAGGACACGAAGAATGGCAGAGGAGAAAATGTGGAAGAATCTGGGTCCTCGACAATACCACTGAACAGACAGGCTGATGCCAGTTACCACTGGCGCTGGGACTTCTTGCTATTTGATAAAAATAAATTCTGAATTGTTTAAGCTGCTGTTAAGTCAGGTTTTCTGCTATGTTCGTGCAAGCCCTTCCCTGATACCCCACCACACATGGAGGCATCCAGAGAGTATGTCCAGTGTGTGGACTGGCTGCCACTGTGAGTCGGCAAGTGCGTTTGGCAGTAGCCCCGCCAGGCTGTGGGGGGTGAACAACCCGTCTCCTCCCTGGAGATGTAACCCTCTCTATTCAGTGTGAACTCGGAGTAGCTACCTTCCAGTAAAAAATCCCTGCTCCTGACCCCAGCTGTGAAACTAAAGACCGCTGTATCTGACTGTAATGTCAGTCACACCTCCACGGAAGAAGGGGGCTCATTTTCTTTCCTCCATGTATTAACGTTGAATGGCAAGTGTTAGGGACTTGCTCAGCAGAGGGGGAAATGAGGCCCCTTGTACAGGAAGATGAAAGTGCATGTGGGAGCTCACAGCCCCAGTCAGAGAGCTCTTCCAGTGCGGACAGAGCTTACAATGCTCCCTCATGCAGCAGCCCTCAGATAGCCGGGGTAAGATCAGGCAGACAAGGATTAATCTCCTCATTTGAAAAGAGGCCCAGAAAGATTAAGTGATTCTCCTAAGATGAGGGTGCAGCCGTGCCAGCAGCCAAGACTCGAAGCCAGTCCTCTGACTGCACAGGAACACTTGGTCCTGTTCTGTGCTGCCACGAGGTGACAGACCCGGCCCACAGCCCCCTCCTCTCATCTGTGAAATGATGGTTGGCCTCCTATTCAACCTTCCATGGAACCATCAAGATCAACGAGTCAAAAGCAGCAAAAACTAAAAGGAAACCAACAGTCCACCACAATTGGCCTTGAATTCCAGAGAGAGAAGGATGGGGGAGGGCGGAACATTAATCAAAGGACATTAGGCTACTCGATTCAATTTGCAGTTGAAATGTACCGTGTAAAATCAGATTCAAATGATGAGCCATTCCTCATGAGGGACATAAATAATTAGAAAAGGATTAATTTTAAGAACAGTATCCTTTACAAGAGCATCATAACGTACCAAACATCTAGGGTAACTCTGACAAAGCCCTGGACGCAGAAACGGCACAACACCGAGAATTACAGATCTGTGTTGCTGGGGGGTAGATCACGTTCGGGAGTCCCGGGTTAGTTCTCCAGTTTAATGCTAAGTCTCTATTTTGATCTATACATTCCATACAATCCCAGTAAAAATTCTAGAAGAATTCTTCTTCTGGAAACTGAGAAGGTGAATCTAAATTTTATATGGAAACAAAGGGCCAGGACAGACAATCTTGGAGAACTTAAAGTCTAGACCAGATACTCAGATTTGTAAGGTAGGTATAATGAAGGCAGGAGAGTATCAGCGAAGAATAGACACACAGACCAGAGTAACAACAGAAAACCCCAAAGCAGATCATGCATATATGGACATGGGATTCAAAACAAAGGTCCTAATGCATTGGGGCGAGAAAAGGACAGTCTTCAATCAACATTACTGTTAACCAGCTATCCACGTGGGAGCACAAATGTCAACCCTACATGCAAAACACACACAGAAAAACATTTCCAGACAGACCGAAGATCAAAATGTGAAGAGCAAAACACCACTTTTAAGATAGCGTGGGAGAATAGCTTCATAACCCTAGGAAAGGTTCTTAACTTAAGAGCACTAACCATAAAAGATAAGAATGAGAAACTGGACTACCTTAAAATTAAAAATTTCATCAAAAGATGAACCATTAAGAGAGTGAAAAGGCAAGCAAGCCTCAGAATGGGAAGGAGGAAGTAATTTTGCCCCCACACCCAGGGTGGGGGGAGATAATTAGGCAACGCCTGAGGACATTTCCGCTGGCACAACTGATGGGGCCAAGGTGCTACTGGCCATCTGATAGGGGCTAAAGGCCAGGGATGCTGCTGAACGTCCTGTGTACAATGCACAGGACAGCTCCTCGTGACAAGTTATTATCCAGCCCCAAATGTCATAGTGCTACACTTAGTAAGCCCTAATGTAGTGTAACCAAACTCACATAAATCGACATGACCACCCTGGAAAACTGTTTGGAGTTGTTTTTGAAAATGCTGACAGAGGCCCTTGGATGGCTCAGTTGGATAAGCGTCCGACTCTTGGTTTTGGCTTAGGTCATGATCTCAGGGCTGTGAGATCGAACCCCGGGTCAGGCTCTGTGCTGGGCGTGGAGCCTGCTCCAGTTTCTCTTGCCCTCTCCCTCTGTACAATCCCCTCCCCTCAAGAGAAAAGAAGAAAGGAGAGGAGGGGAGGGGAGGGGAGGGGAGAGGAGAAGAGAAGGAAAGAGGAAAGAGAAGAAAAAATGAAATAAAATGTTGGTCATATGCATACTCTATAACTCAGCAACTCTATTCTTATGTATGTATCCAACAAAGATGCATACATAACACACCAAGAGTCACATAAAAAAATACATGAGTATTATTTGTTAATGGCCTAAAATATCTACTAGTAGTACAATGGGTAAGTCACAGGGTATTTATACAGTAATGAAAAAGAACAACATCTATGGCTCTATACCACCCCGATGGATCTCACATGTTGAATGAATATCGGGCATAAAAGAAACCACATCATATGATTTTGTTTATATAAAAATCAAAAAATGGATAAATAATGTGTGGTTTAAAAAGTCAGACCAGTGATCAGCTACTCAAAGAAGGTGGGTAATGGGTGAGAGGGAGATTAGTGAGGCACTGGAGGCAACACTGAGTCCCCAAAGGGCAGGGACTACAAGGGGAAATGAACAGGGCTTGGGAGGCGTTTCTTTTCTTGATCGAGAGGGTGGTTGTGTGGTGAGTGTGCTTACACTGTGAAAATCACTGACACACACACACACATATAAATATATATATATAAATCTTCAATTTCAAAGTTAATTGAAAAAACACCAACGGATCAGTACCTAAGATCTTCTGTCCAATTCCTTAGAAACAAAATGCCCTTTAGAGATTTGTGAAGAGGACAGCTAGGTGTGTGAAACATACAAAGGCCTCTGGAGCACCGTTAGCCCTTGCGCCCAGGACCGGACCCGCGGTACCTGCCGCTTGATCGAGACCAACTCCATGTCTAGCTGCCTGAGCACCGTGGTGGCAGCCGTGGCGTTGGCAGAAACAGCCTCCACGTCTTCTTGGGACAGAAACATTCCTTTGGGAGGTTTCCTTTTTGCTCTATTTTTAGCTTGTGTACTATGTTTCTCTTTTTTGATCTGAGGAACTGTCTCCGTAGGGGGCACCTGCATGATATACATATTTGATAAATGAGACTCTAAAACATTAAAATGCCAAAGGAACAGTAATAAGCATATTTTCTTAACATGGCTCTAAACAATTGAAGACAAACACCATGCCATATCATAATTACCATCTACAAACAGGCAGTTAACAAAAACATTGCCTATTGAATTTTGGCTAAACACATCAAAGTAGAATCTACTGCTCTCCGTATAAACAACCTTCTTCTGTCACTCTAAGCCTCTGGCAATAGGCATTCTCAGTTCCCTATAGTAATACAGGAAGAAAAAAGATCTGTCTTCTCATCTGGCGTGCTTTGTATATATGAATGGGGAGCTATTTAATCCTCATAGTTCTTAGCAAAATAGATGGATTTGGGACCACAAAAAGAAAAGAGAAAAATATGATTTAGCACATATATAAAAATCCATTTAAATTCCTTAAATCTATATAGAAGTTTATTAAAATATAAACTTCCATACAAAACTGTGACTTTTTTATATACCTTTTTTTGGATGACTCAAAACTTTTAGGGCAACTGTGTAATTTGCCTCAAAAATATATGCTGTCATTTTATAAGGCATGACTGCTGCTAATTTTTTTAAGTGCTTTCTCTAAAACCGAAACCTTTGGAAATGAAATGTAATAAAATCTTGGCAAGGAAAGGATACTGTTTTCCTGATAACAATTTTAAGAAGAAGTTTTTGTAATTGTTAATAATCTCATCTTCCTAGGATATTTACATTTGCTGATGAAGCTGAGAATACATTCAAGTTTTTTTACTTCATATTTTAAAACACTGAGATAAGCAGACTCTGTAATTAGGATGGTGCCAATGAGGTCTTGAACAAGTGGTCATAAACAATACATAAAAAATATTAGTAGGCAATAACCTATGTCTGTAATAGCACTATGCTGTTTAGTAAAGATCACTCAATGACCATGGGTCTGTTTTAACAACATTTTAGTACATAAAGAACTTAAGATATAAATCATTTTTCTCTTTTAATCAGAAATTGTGCTATACAAATAAGAATTATAGAAATTAATGTAAAATCAAGCCTTTCCTCTTTCATTTAAAATGTTCCATTGAAGAGCCTAATACAGAACAATGCATCAAAACAAAGCTTCCTAAAAATTGCAGGTACAATCTGATTTCCCAAACAATCTAATTTAGCTAACCATTAAAATAGTCTTGTTGTTTGGGCATTCATATAAATCACTGGCTAGAGAGCCATCCAGAAAGAATTACCAGTTTTCAGTCTGGTGGTATGCAGCAGCATACCAAAAGAAGCTTTAAAAATGTAACTAGGAGACACTGACCCAACAATTCAACTTCCAGAAATTTGTTCCAATGGAAAAAATTCAGTGTACTAATATTTAATCATGAGATCAGCACTTCAGCACTGTTTATAATAGCAAAAAGCAGGGGGGGAAACCAATAAAAACCTCTAAGATTACTTGACTGAATTATGTAATGTGTGTATGATAAACTAACAGTTATGTATACAAATATATTTGACATAAAAACATATTCAAGAAAGAGTAAACTTAAAAGATTATAAATATTATATATTAAGATCCCATTTTATTTTTTTAAAGTGAGTACCAATTCAAAATTATGTAAATAGGCATATTCATTTCATAGGAAGTCATCTGGAAGAAGTCACCCAAATGTTAACAGTGATTAAGGATGATAATATTGTGAATCATCTTCATTTTCCCTTTTTTGTTTAGCTGGATCTCCTACTTTGCCTAGAAAAAGCATGTATTACTGGCGTGATTTTTAAGTTTAGGTATGTCCAGACCCTTCTGTTTTTCGTGTAACAGTCTAAAACAGCTGTTCTCATACCTTAGAACCTTTTGAGATAGAGAATTCTTTGAGGTTTTACTGAAACTATAGATAGAAGACTCTGTCTTCAGAAAAACACTGGAATGAACATATAAAAGTCGTATCCCACACTGGGAAGCAACACTCCAGCCCGAACCGAGGAGCTAATGGGCACCAACGGACAACGACGCCCTTTCCTCCAGGGGCTGTATCACTAGCCCACCAGGGGCCTGCCACAGAAAATGCTGTGTTGTGCAGGGTTTCCAATCTGTGCCAAGGGGCCTTGGGTTTCCTTGGAGGGCCCTCAGGGGTCCCACATACGCTTTATCTAATTGTTATAAATGGGCAAAATAGCCTTAGACTATAACCCATTTCAAAAGGTTACTAAGATCATCTAGACACCCTATCGTTCTCAGTGGACAGTTTACAATAAAGAAATGTTATAAATATACAAAAGTCATATACAATTGTAGGAATTCATGGGTCTCTTGAATCCTATGACATAATGATTTTTAAGATGTGAAAGATTAAACATTCACCGTGTGTGAGGCTCGTCGCCATATGACCCATGCTGCTGGTTCTGAGTAACGGAAACACTTGCACCGCGTCCCCCCAGCCCCCCCAGGCCCCTCCAGAACCACCACGGTGGACCTCTGGAGCTGGCCATCGTGAGGAAGGAGACCCCGCGGGCTGAAAGGAGGAAGCAAACCCTCACCTGCTCCTCACCACCACCACCCCACTGCTCGCTAACCTAGGGAAGAAGGCAGTGAGGACGGCTGCCCAGTGGGGACAAAATCCTTCCTTGGTAACACTATCACTTCCTTTAGGGCTTCCTTTATTCCTGTTTCTTGGCAAACAAAATTCTAAGGTCTATAAAGCAAAGTTAGTATTGTTTAAAAAGTCTTATCATGACGTCTTGTACATAGCACTTAATATATTAAATAGAGTAAGAGGAATGTTTTACTTATGGAACTAGTAATTAAATTTATTTGCCTAAACAATACTAGGGAAAAAAAAAATACCTCCTTTTTGCTTTCCTTGTTTTGGTCAATCTCAATGTCAATGGGGTTATTTCCATTTGTCTCTTCCAGTTCATCCTCACTGGAAGACAAGAACAAGTTACTGAAAGATTATTTGGTACTAATTCTATTTAATATACAAATATAAGCAATAAATTGGTTTAATGACAGGTTTAATATAAAATTAGTAAGTTTCCAGATTGCTGAGATAAAATTTTTTTTTTTAATTCAAATAGAATAGTATCAACTCCATAGTTCTCTTGGTCTAAATGATTTAAAAAAGACAACTATTAAAATAGGTCTCTAACTTCCAAATCAGGTCTAGAACACTGTTGCTTTATATCTGTAAAATGCTTTTTCTCAACTCTCCACTGAAAATATCAAATTTAAGACGTTTATGTAATTGCCCCATAATCAGCTTGTGGCGGGTTAGGACATGATCCTGAGACGTGACCGGGAGATTGAGTCCTACTGCGCTGGGGACAAACTCCCCAAGTAAAACTCCATTTCAAGTCCCATGAGTAGACGCTCATAACTCAACACAAGTGAGAATGGGAGAGCCTTCTTGGTGGCCTGCAGAGATTGGTATTTCAAATTAGGTTAATTTTAAAAAGAACATTCGTGGTGCCTGGGTGGCTCAGTCGGTTAAGCATCTGCCTTCGGCTCAGGTCATGATCCTGGAGTCCCGGGATCGAGTCCCGCATCGGGCTCCCTGCTCAGCGGGGAGTCTGCGTCTCCCTCTGACCCTCCCCCCTCTCATGCTCTATTTCATTCTCTCAAATAAAGTCTTAAAAAATAATAAAAATAAAAATAAAAAATAAGAACATTCGTGTTGACATGGTACTTCAAATGCTTTTGTTTATAGCCTTCCATGTATTATTAATTTTTTAAAAGAGCTTTGTAGTAGTTAGGACCTTTATTTGAAAAAATAAGAAAATAAGGATGACACAAGTCAAGTGGCCCCAGTTTGCCCACGGTTTTGACCAGCTCAACAGTGGTGGCAGCAAAACAATCAGCTGTTCAAATGTCAATGTCCCCACTGTCTCAGGAATCCATCCCGGGGCCCATGCTACGGTTCTCCCCACCCGCCCTGGCTGAGGAGAGTGTCTGAAAGGAGAATGGGTCTGGGGCTGAGGAAATTCTTTCCCATTATTGCCAAAAACCTCTCTGGTGCGACCACCATGTGGCGTGCCCTCCTTGGTCCACATCCTGACAGTGGGGAAGGTGCTCACAGAAGGTGGGAGCACAGCTGGTCTCCTACCCTTGGTGCTGATGTAAAGCACCAGGGAAGGGAGTACACAGGTGTCAGCCGATGCTCTTACCATGTCATACAAGGAAAACAAATCCCAGCTGCTTTTTAATTTAACTCTGATTTCAGCTTAGTAGAGTAGTATACCTGCCTGTAGTAATAGATTCAATTTATAAAAAGTAAATGAGACCAAACATATAATGGGTGTAAAAATTTTTAATCAAAAGTTACTGGAACACTAAAAACAAATTCAGTAGTGTTTGCCACTTCTGGTTACTAAGAGTAATGACCAAAAACAGACCCACTAGTATCTATGTGGCAGACCACACAACATGCAGATGCATCAAGGTCAACAGTCTTACAGACTCTTACAGCTGGAGAGAGCTTTGAGGATGTTCCCACCACTGCCCCCGTTTTACAGCTGGGCCCACAGATCCAAATTCTCCAAAAGTCATACTCCCAATTTGTTCCCCCATGTTATTCTATTTAAAAATCATAAAACACTCTCCTAAAATGGGGCCATGGAGATCATACAGTCTTTCTTCACTTTATTTGTATTATTAATTTTTAAAAAAATAACATTACAGAAAATGTGGAAAACATAATTTTAAAAAGCCACCTATAGTCCCACCAACCTAACACAAAAACCAGTATGTGTATGAGCTGCCTTCTGAACTTAGAGCTTCTTCATTTTTGAGCTGAGGAAGTAAGGCTTGGGGAAGGAGCGTGTGGAGTGAACTCGCCTGTGAACACACAGGTAGAGAGCCTCTGGAGTTCACATGCCAACCTGCCTCTGCGTGTGAGCACAGGGCTGTTCCCACTACTCTGTGCCGTTTATAAGACCAAGGAAGTGATGGCTAAGATGTAGCCTACTCACCAAGCTATTCTTAAAACTAGATCCTTATTAAGGAGAAATCATAAAATGTTTCTGTCTCTCATACACAAAACAGATGGTCAAAAAAGGGATGAAGGAAATCTAAACTGTACAGTCATCTTTTAACATATCAGACATTAAAATATGTCAAATCTTATATATCAAAAAAAAAATTCAACCTAAGAAATAATGGATTCCTTCTTATTAAAAGGAGACACCTTCAGGGGCAGGAAAGAATATGTGGGCAAGTTTGCTCTTTCAGAATGGAAGCTTACTAACGGGCAGAGAGAGAGAGTGCTAAGAAAAAACATCTGCAGAACAGAACGCGTGTTAACACAGCTCATGAGCATCAGAGGAAGAGTATCTGTGTGTGTGTGGCTCCAGCAGGAAGGCACTGGGGGAGACCCGTCACTCAGCCTTTCCTTTGTGCGTCTACCAGCTCTTAGCAATTTTACTGGCCCAAGAGAACCCCACGTGGGGAGACACCAGCTCCAGGCAGGCACTGACCTCTCCTCCCGCTCCCGCTTCTGTTTCCGAGCGTGGCGGTCCATCACGCTGGTTTTAGTTCTCGTCTTCTTCCAAGAGTAGTAAAATTTCACCAGACTTGCTATAGATTTATCAGGAAGCTAAACATAAAAACTAAGTTGGTTTCGATTGAAAGCGAATCTTCCCAAATCAAGTGTGCTTATTAGGTATGGTTAAGGGTTGTCTCACGTACCCAGAAATGTCCTAAGTCACAGCCCTTTTCTCTGAGAAGGAGATTCAGAGAGAAGTCTTATCAATACATTCCAAGCTAGTGCAGTGTGACTGGCAGTGACGACACTCAGCCCAGGAAAGATTGCTAAAGCAGTCTGAGATGAATCCAAGATTTACCCGGAAGTTTCTAGCCTAACTCTTGGGTTATTTTTTAAAAATTCATTTTAGCACTCATGTAACCACCAATAAGCTTTCCTATTTCCTAGTAGGACTCCACCAAATAGTCTTCTAGAACGTAAGAGATAAGCAAACCTTCCCCAGGCAGATAGGGTTCCATGATGCTCCACCTCATCAACCATCAAAGATGCTTTCTTTGTTGGAGTCCCAACAAGAGAGACGGGGATGGGGGGTGGAGGAGGGCTTCTGTTACAGCTGCTATCAAGCTGGGAAGTGCTAGGAAAGGATTCACTCTTGTAATGTAAAGCCTCTTATCCACCCTGCAGCAAGTATGAACTATCTAAAGGGAGCTTTATTAAAAATGAGAATATTCATGCTTGCGGGTTAGCCCTACCCTTCGGGGTATGCTACAGTGAAGAGAGGCTGGGGAAAAGAGAAAATACAGTGGTCTCATTTACTTACCATTTGTTGGATTCTATGGAAAGTTTTCCCATGAAAACTAAAGGCTTGTTCAAACAAGACTTTATCTTCCACAGTCCACTCATCTGGGAAGGGGGTAAAGTTGGGCAAATCAGCCAATGACTTTTCAATATTATGCTTATGCCAAAAGAGCATCCCAAGAGCCTAGAAAAATAGTACCAGTGAAATTTTAGACCAAAGGCAGGAGTGAAACATTAAAATGGCAATGAGATTAGCAAAAGAAAAGCCTGTGCTTCCCTGCAAGCAGACCAGACTGCCGTGTGACTAAGGGGGGGTCTGTGCCCGCCTACATGCGGGGAGGCTGTGACGCAGATTCCATTATGCTCACTTTTCAGATTAGAATACGGTGGGGCCTGAGAAATTAAGTCCTTGGGCGCCTGGGTGGCTCAGTTGGTTAAGCGACTGCCTTCGGCTCAGGTCATGATCCTGGAGTCCCGGGATCGAGTCCTGCATTGGGCTCCCTGCTCGGCAGAGAGTCTGTTCCTCCCTCTGACCCTAACCCCTCTCATGTGCTCTCTCTCATACAAATAAATAAAATCTTAAAAAAAAAAAAAAAAAAAAAAAAGAAATTAAGTCCTTGCCAACGGTCCAGTGTGGAAGGTAGGTGATAGAGGCAGCGTGGCTCCTGAATCCGAGCTCTTAAAAGGCCACACTCGAATGCCTCCATATACAATAGGACAAAGTAACTCATAAAAGCACTTAATTGGGGGTGCCTGGGTGGTGCAGCTGGTTAAGCTCCAACTCTTGGTTTCGGCTCAGATTGCAATCTCAAGGCCATGAAATCAAGCTGCATGTCAGGCTCCATGCTCAGCATGGAGTTTGCTTAAGACTCTCTCTCCCTCTGCACCCCACCTCGCTCTCTCTCTCTAAAATAAATAAATCTTCTAAAAAAAATTTTTTTTTAAAGATTTTATTTATTTATTTGACAGAGAGAGACAGAGCAAGAGAGGGAACACAAGCAGGGGGAGTGGGAGAGGGAGAAGCAGGCTTCCCACGGAGCAGGGAGTCTGACGTGGGGCTCGATCCCAGGACCCTGGGATCATGACCCGAGCCAAAGGCGATGCCTAATGACTGAGCCACCCAGGCGCCCCTAAAAAATTTTTTAAAAAGTAATCTTGTTATTCTTTTGCCAAAAAAGGTAAAAAATTGTTTTGTTTTGGGTTTTTTTTTTTTTTTGGTAGCTCAGAAGGGAGAAAATATTCAAATGGGTGAGGGACAAACTGGAAAAGAGAGAGATAATTCAGCAATTTTTTCCTGAGAAAACTTTCTATAACTCTAAAGTGAGAATAATCATACTTTTGAAGACCAGAATCCTTAAAAATTCATACAAGTATATTTAGCAATCACCAATTTTTTTTAAGGTTTTATTTTTATTTTTAAGTAATCTCTACAACCCAATGTGGTGGCTCAAACTCACAACCCTGAGATTAAGAGTCCCATGCCCTTTCGACTGAACCAGCCAGATGCCCAATCGCCGAGTAATTTTTACACTTTCTAAACAGAATTTAAAATTGGTGATGTTTGGGGCGCCTAGGCTGGCTCAGTCAGTGGAGCATGCGACTCTTGATCTCGGGGTTGTGAGTTTGAGTCCCACATTGGGTGTAGAGATTACATAAAAAATAAAATCTTAAAAAAAAAAAATTGGTGATCTTCTGAGCAACTTTGTGAAGTTCATGAGTAGGGTTTGGAAAAAGAGAAAGCATACATCTCTTGCTTTGAAAGCTTCTGGAACTCTCTCATTGTAATTGGCTTTCCTAACAAATTCTACCAGGGTGGAATAATTAAAAGTAAGACCAGGGCTAAAAGAAAGAGTCAGATTCTATATAATGTAACTCACTGGTACCCTCAGTCATGAGGATAAATGCTAGAAACTTACAGGTTTTAATATCTAGATCAATGCCAAAGCACTAATCCAACTTAATATACTTATTTTTAAAACAGTAATTAGAAATAAGGCTGACACAGGATTATCATCACACTTTGAGCAAAATTAACTTCATATATTTCTCATTAATAGGTTCCAAGCAATTTTTAAAAGAAAACCTTAGTCAAATTTTACAGCCTGAAAGTGATTCAAAACAATTGATATGAAAACACTGTGAGTCTGTGGGGGTCTAAGCGTGACAACACGGGGTCAGGAAAAAAGCCAACACGGAAACACACAAATGACAAACACACCATGCATTCAAATAGGGAAGCATTATGCCCAAGTATCTGGGCACCTTGGAGCTACTTTGGAGCTACAGGTGCCCTAAATACTACAAACCTGCAGAAATACACAGATGCTTTTCAAATCAAAGGGTCCTCTAAAACTCATCTCAAGCAGAAAAGGGGGACTGGAGCCTCAATTTGCTAGTGACCACCAAAAATGTGCACTGCTACTCAACACACAGAACACAAACAATTTAACAGGTTAGCCCCGAACCCCCAGCCTTTAAAAATAAAAACTCATCTTGGACAACAAAAGAAAACCACGTCATTACCTGTTCCATGTTGTACCCATGCTTCTCTTTAGCGATGGCAATGTATTCATCTACTGAAAAACAAGACAAGAGACCAATAAACAAACGGAGGGGCAGGAAACAACAGTCTAGGAGCACTAGAGTTGTATATATGTTTCAGGCCTGCCATGCACAGGAATAAAAATAAAGAACAAAGTCCATTATGGATCTTACATATATAAATCCCACAGAGGAATGGCTCAAAATATACTCAAGTATTAACAGTCCTTGGCTCTGGATGGGAAGACTATGATTCTTTTTTTTTTTTTTTAAACTTGGTTCTACTTAAATTTCCTATGATAAATATTATTTTGGTACTCTGAAAGATAATTAAAAGAAATAAAAAGAAGTATTAAAATTGGGGGTTTGGTTTTAATCTCAGCCAAAGCTGAAAAACAAGCCACTTATCTTTATATTAAAAAAATCTAAGAGATGAATTACATGAACCAGTGCCTGGTATTTGCTTTCAAACTCCAACACAAGGCGACAAGTGCCGACTTTCAAGCACTAAGGTTAATGCCAAGGAAAACTGACTGACTCAATCTCCAGGAGAAGTTAACACACCCCCAAAGTTACTTCCTCTCTACATTTTCTAGTCTTTCTTCCAGGAATAGAAGAGACTACCAATCAATAATAACACTTCATTATATTCCTGTAAAGCTTTTTTTTTTGATAAATTACAAAAAATAACACAGGCTCCCCAAAAAACCCCAAAAAGCAAAAACCAAACAAAACAAAAACCAACCACCAAAAACAAAAAATTAAAAAAAAAACAAACAAACCCAAATAGCACAGAACTGTCTGAAACAAACAGTAGTTTCCCATTGGCCTGTGCCTCTCTCTGGAGACCCTCAGCTTCACTCTCCAGGTGTGGTAGACTTGGAGATTCACACTGGAGGAGACCAAGATGCACATGGCAACACACCAGACCCTGAGGGATGGACTCCAGGGAAGATGATAAAAACTAAGTAATGAGGTGTGTTCAAGCCAAGGCTACGTCAGGGGAAAAGAGAAAAACAATCTACAGTGAACTGAGGGTCAACCCCAGAGAAGGTCTGCTCTAAGGGTTGTTTCTTTTAATAGATATTTGGTAAATGAACCTCAAACTTCTGCTGTACAACCCCAACTCTGCAAGCATACACATTTCCAGACACTATTATTTCCCTCAGCTGAGTGAGGAACGTGTGACGTGTGCACAGCCCCCATGCAGTCACGTGATCCTCAAGCAGCTGCCTGCACAGGCTGGCCAAGGGGGCAGATGCTATCTGCTCCATCAGTAGCGGGGCCAGTAAGCCTGTCCCCATGGTCTCCAACCAGATTTAGCTTAAAAATTACATGGAAAACCAAAGCATTCTTGGGATACTACTCTATTTTCATCTGCTTCTTTGCTTTCTAACAGAAAAATTAGCTGGTGGTGGGAAGAGTAAAATTCCGAGTGGATTCCGAGTGTTGCAGCCAAGTTTGGACAGAACATTTTCCATGTTGTAAACAGCAAGGTATTCTTACTAAGTACCTTTAAAAATCACACCTCTTTTAGATTTTCTTGCAGACTAGCCTGAGGAATCAAATCTAAAGCAAAGGAAAAAAGAATTCTATCAGAACCACTTATGGGAAGTCACTTGGTATCTCTACCAGGTGCCCTGAAGGTGTGACCCCAGTAAGTTCATACATGGGGAGGCTTGCAACTTGCCAAAGAATTACCATCTGATACCCACTGGCAAAAATACAATTTTTCATTCTTTTTATTGTCCCCAGTGTCCAACAGAGATTAAACAATTTGCTAAATGAATGCTAGGGGTGCTGTGATGTGCAGAGTGTCACCGAAAAGAAAGGCTCTTTTCTAGCAAGGTGAAAGGCTGTACAGCTTTTAGCTATGTGGTTAAGAAAGATGGAGGTCCAATCTTGGCTCTGTCTCCAGACAAAATGAGTTGACAGGCAGTGGTGCCTGATGTATAAGTAAGAACTACAGTTTAAACTCTGTTACCTTTAGCAACTTTCCTGACCTTCCCAGGAAGGAGCTCTCCCCAGTAAGGCTGCATCATCACCTATCTGAAAAATAGCAGAGTAGAAGTCCTCTCGCAATGTTTTCGTCTGGAGTTAATCCAGAAACCAAGCCATGTGCTCGCACAAAGGATGCTGCTGACAGCCTGGTCTCTGACTGCCTCCCTACTGTATACAGATAGTCCTCAGCTCTTGTTCCCTTTCATGATCAGGGGGACAGGGCTACCCACCACAGTTTCTAGACTCCCGTCTTCTCTACCACCTACCCTGCTCCTTTACAGAGCGCATGCCAGTAGCTGCCAGTAGGGCATGATGAAAACGGAACGTGTGCATTTTCAAAAATTCCCACATGCTTTCCTTAAGCAAAAATAAGCTTTCAACCTAAGACAATAAAATCCACTCCCACATGCCTTCATAAAAACAAAGGATGACCAGATACTTCAGGCGATGGATGAAAGATGAAACAGGAAGGGACACAAGAAAAATACAAGCTACTTGAGACCAACAGCTCTAAAACAAAGAACACAGAGTTCCTTGGGGATTTTTCCAGTACTTTCTCATCTCTGGCAACAGGGATCCTGATTTCATCTCTAAGAAATTAAAGGTTAACCAGAGTCAGTCCCAATCTGGCGGTGAGGAGCCACTCCAGGCAGAGAGTCATCAAGCTGTGATTAGGACAATGCACAAAGTCCACGTGGCTTAAGGAAATGCCGGGATGTTTCCACGGCCCATTTATATCCACCAGCCTTCCCCAACTTGGGCACAGGGGACAGAACCAGGCAGTCATCTGGGTGCAAGAAGCTGAGCTGACATTCTCATCCGTCGGTCAGAAGCAGAAAGATCAGTCACTAAGTATACTCTCCTTTAAGAAAAAACAATTCCAGGGACACCTGGGTGACCACGTCAGTTAAGTGTCCAACTCTTGATTTCTGCTCAGGTCATGATCTCAGGGTCCTGAGGTCGAGCCCGGCATAGGCCCTGTACTCTGCAGGGAGTCTGCTTAAGATTCTATCTCTCCCTCTCCCTCTGCCCCTTCCCCCACTCACATGCTCTTTAATATAAAATCTTTTTTTTTTTTAAGTTTTTAAAATGTATACTGCAGTATTTTTTTTAAACTGATTTTTTTTAAAGATTTTTTTTTAATTTATTTATTCGAGACACAGAGCGAGAGAGAGAGAGCGAGAGAGAGAGAACATGAGCAGGGGGAGAAGCAGAGGGAGGGGGAGAAGCAGAGGGAGGGGGAGAAGCAGGCTCCCCGCTGAGCAGGGAGTCACTTGGTGTCTCTACCAGGTGCCCTGAAGGTGTGACCCCAGTAACTTCATACAGGGGGAGGCTTGCAACTTGCCAAAGAATTACCATCTGATACCCACTGGCAAAAATACAATTTTTCATTCTTTTTATTGTCCCCAGTGTCCAACAGAGATTAAACAATTTGCTAAATGAATGCTAGGGGTGCTGTGATGTGCAGAGTGTCACTTTTTTTCTATCCGATGAACTAAATGTCTTCAATTCCATTAGTGAGCCCGATGCGGGGCTCGATCCCAGGACCCCGGGATCATGACCTGAGGTGAAGGCAGACACCCAACCATCTGAGCCACCCAGGTGCCCCTATAATGTGCTATTTTTAAAAACTTGAATATCCTATGGAAACAACCAAAGAGAACTATCTGATCTTAAATTATAATGGATAAAGTTATGTATCACTCTGATTCTTTAAGAAATATACAGACTGTACAAACCACTGGCTTTTTTGACAAGAACTCAGCATTATGGAAAGCACAGGTAAATGAGTTATGTTTTGGCATAACATCACTTAAAGGTAGAATGTGAGATTCATCAAGAAAATTTACAAAATTCCTAAAGCCTAGTCAAACATTTATTGAACTACCCTTACTATGTACAGAACACTGTACTAAGTAGCAGGCCAAAATACAGAAGAAAAACAAACTGGTTTCCTGAACTAGCTTGAAACAATACACAGGTAACGGAGAACAGAAATACATAAAATAACAGTACAAATGTAGACTAGCATGGGAATCCAAAATAATCAGTAAATAATGACGGTAATGATGTTAAATCAAGATAAGCTTCCTGAAGATTCAACAGCTATATTGATTAGGTAATAACAATAGCTAATATTTGAGAATTTACTATGTGCCAGCCGCTGTTCTAAGCTCTTTACAAGGATTATCTTTTTAATCCTCTCCAATAATTCTATTATCACTCCCATTCATAAATAAAGAAACTTAGGCTCAGAGAAGTTAAGTAATTTGGCCAAATGACATAGCTGGTAAATAGCAGAAATAGGACTTATATACACGCAGAGTGTCTGACCACAGGACCCATGATATTAAACCACTATATGCTATCCTATCTCTTGAGTGAAGGACATGGCGAGAGAAGGGCACTCGAATAAGAACAGTCTCCATGGTACAGAGAATTGAGCAAGACTAACCAATATCGTCTATGTCGCTTGAATAGAGTTAAGAAAGTAAAACTGAGGTTGATGACGGAAGTGATGGAAAGCAAGGGTAACAGGCAAAAGGCTGCCCTGCAACAGGCATCATTTGCTTCTATATTCTTGTTTCTATCCGATGAACTAAATGTCTTCAGTTCCATTAGTGACAGTCTCAAACTCAACTGCAAAAAAGGGAAAAATGCAGATGAAAGTTGCCTCGGTAACCTGAGCTCACCCACTCCTCCCTCCTCTAGACATTGCAGAGACTCAGGACACCTTGTGATCTTGCATATTCTATTCAGAGCAAGAGGCTGACACCATAAGGTGCGTTGAGGACAAAGCTATAACCTCAGTACAGTTTAAAAAAATTTTTATTATCCTAACACTTGCAGTAGCATTAGCACTACAAAGGAACGTGGCACCAATTTCTCTCTCATAACTCAAACTGAGAATACCAAAACTTTCTTTAGGAATATGATAAATATCGTGGCATCTCCTTTTATTATTAAAATAAGAAATGAGTTATCACTGTAACTCACTGGGAATGGAAATGAGCTTAAATCATTTAAGTAAAGC